GATGGTGAATCTGTAAACCAAGATCTACATGATTTGTCTTGAAAAGAAGATAAAAAGGAAGATCAAAATGGCAAAGGTGCAGTAACTTATACAGGCAGTCCCCGACTTACGCGGATCCGACTTATGTCGAATCCGCACTTACGAACGGGGCTTTCTCGCCCCGGAGGTCGAGGTGGCGGATTGCTACCTTCCTTTCTATTCACAAGGCCAGTAACCCTGTCAAAGAAGAAACTTAAGCTCAGTTTGCATGATTTGTTCTTCACAAATCCATGCTGGCTGTTCCTCATTACTCTGTTATCCTCTAGGCACTTGCAAAATGACTGTTCAATAAATTGTTCTGGTACCTTTCCATGTATTGAAGTTAGGATGACTGATCTGTAATTTCCCACATATTCTTTATTCTCTTTTTAAAAGTCAGGTCTTCTTCAGTCCTCTGGGGCCTCCAGGGTTCTCGAAGATAATTACTAATGGTTCCAAGTTTGCAAGTTTGCTTCAGTTAATATCTTATGTAACCAGGATGAATTTCATCAGGTACTACTAACTTGAATCTACCTAATTTATCACAATATTCTTTAATCTGTTATTTTCCTATTTTGTCTTGGGTTCTTCCCTCGTGTTGTGAATAATTGTATTAAATATCTGGTCACCATTAATCTTTTTAATGAAACCTGAAGCATAATAGGCATTAAACCTCCCAGACCTTCTTGATGTCATCAGATCTTCTTCCTCACTAAGCAGACTAACACTTTCTGATGTCTTCCTCATGCTCCTAACATTTTTAAAGATCTCTTCTTATTACTGCTTATACAGGCAGTCCCCGCAGTTACGAACGGGGCCCTTCCTCTCCCTGGTCTCCAGCAGACCACGGAGAGGAAGCAAAGCGGTGGAACACGCGGGCAGCGGACAGGGTTATCCGCTGCCCACGCGCTCCGCGGCTTGGCTCTGCTTTGCCCCCCCGTCTCCCTGGCGGTCAGTTTCAGCAGCGGCTGAATCTGGACGCCAGTTCCGACTTACATACAGATTCAACTTAAGAACAAACCTACAGTCCCTATCTTGTACGTAACCCGGGGACTGCCTGTAAACCAAAAGGAAAACCTGTACATTTTCTGCAAGTGTGTTTGATTTAGACATAAATGTATAGAAGGAATTTATGTAAGACGAGGGGGAGTGATACACACAGTACATGTAGGAATAAGTTTGCTAGAATTGATGGCAGAGGTTAAACAAAATTAAGGGGTAATACAAAATTATTGAGATGGTCTAATATACGCTGGAAGCAAAAGGAAATACGGAATGAGAAGGACAGTGGGTGGAAGGAATTGTAGGAGAGAATTCAGCACTGAAATTGGATTGAAGGGTTGAGAGAGAACAGTACTGTAATTTTACTAACAGTTTTTTACAAGAAAAATTGAAAAAAAACCCCATGAAAATAAAACCCAGTACCCATAGTTAGATTTTCAAGATTAGTTTAATACAATAATTGCATTTAATAGAATGGGTGGGAAAGAGATTCCCTTTATGGATATAAAAAAGGAGCTAAATGGTAATGAGAGAGCTGCTCACTGTCTGACAGCAAAGCAAGGGTTGTGCAGAATGGGCCCAGCTACCCCGAGAGGCAGTTTCTATGTTCTGGTGGGTAGACAACTGTTGTTCTGTTTTGAAAAGCAACACACAACAAAGGCTCCGTCAATTTCATAACAGATTGCTCACTCACATGCACGTCAACGCTTTTAAGAGCCATAATGTTTTCTCTGCCTCTGTCATATGTCCCCTGTGGAAACTTAGTTCAGTACTATACGCTTGTAGGCACAACCTCTATTCAGGCCCCAAGGTAAAATTTCTGTTTCCTTTCAAAGGAGTAGTTCTACACACAATTAACTCAGCTAGCATAATGTTGGAGCTAGGGCAGCAAAAATGATAAGGGGCTTGGAATGGCTGCCCTGAAGAGAGATTAAAAAGACGGGGACTTTTCAGCTTAGAAAAGAGGAGACTAAGGGGGGATAGGATAGGAATCTATAAACTCATGACTGCTGTGAAGAAAGTGAATAAAGAAAAGTTATGTACTTGTTCCCATAATATAAGAACTAAGGGCCACCAAATGAAATTAATAGGTAGCAGGTTTTAAACAAACCAAAGGAAGTTTTTCTTCACACAATGCACAATCACTTTTGGAACCCCTTGCCAGAGGATGTTGTGAAGACCAGGACTTTAACAGAGTTGAAAAAAGAGCTAGATAAAGTCATAGAGGATCGTTCCATCAATGGCTATTAGCCAGGATGGGCAGGAATGGTGTCCCTAGCCTCTGTCAGAGGCTGGGAATGGGTGACGGGTGGTATCGCGTGATGGTTCCCTGTTCTGTTCATCCCCTCTGGGGCACCTGGCATTGGCCACTGTGGGCAGACAGGACACTGGGCTGGATGGACCTTTGGTCTGACTCAGTGTGGCCGTTCTGGTGGATACTGTCAGTAGAACAGGCATGCTCTGTATTTCATGAATCCAAAAAAAAGTTCTTGTGAAGTACTTAAGGTTGCAACAGTCACAACATAACATTGTAAGAGCAATGGAATGAAAAATTAAGCCACATACTATGACATATGCTCTCTCTCTTCACCCACAGGCTGCCTTTCCAATTTGTAGCTGCCAGACAGCACAGATTGTGCTGCACAATTGTAATTGTCCTCTCCCAGCACTACAAATTGTGGCAGTCCAGGCTAGTACTGCCATGTGTTGGTCGGGGCTAGATGGTAAGGGAGCTGATGGAGGCTGATGTCCTTTAGGGGACACCATTTGTAAGTTGTGGAATGTGGTCTGTGCTGTATGCTAGTTGTGCTAATTAAGTTTAAAAAACAACAAATAGCCCTGTAGCACCTGAAAGACTCACAAAAAATGTAGATGGTATCATGAGCTTTCGTGGGCACAGCCTACTTCTTCATGTTTTGTTAGTCTCTAAGGTGTCGCAGGACTATTAGTTGTTTTTTAAATTTCAGTTACAGACAGAAGCTTATTAAGTTGTATACTTGTGGGTGGAGAAATAGAGGGATGGCTCTGATGTGGCTTAGCTCTCAAGTATGCTGTATGTAGAAATCACAATAAAAGCTTTTCAATGCTTCAGCAGCAATAGGTGAACCAAGTATAGCGACTATTACTTCAGCTGTGCATGAAGCTACATCCACAGTTGAATAAAATCTGGCAGCAAAGTGTAGCACCTGGCAAAAATTGTGTATGTATTTTGATGGTGCATACCGTTTACTGCTCAGGGTTGGAGTCTGGGGGGGTGCAGGAGTGTTATGATGCTGTGGCCAGATGGGGGCTTGGCCCCAACTGGGGGCATGTTGGCCAGACTTCATTTTTAAATAAAATATTATGTCAAACACACAATGTTTCAGCATTGTCTTTATTTATGAGAGGGGCGGGGAACCTGTTTTGGGTCAGAGGTCACTGACCCATAAAAAAATCAGTCGGGGACCACACAAGTGAAATGCAAAAAACCAACCCCTTCAAAAACCCCCAAGCCTCACTGATGTGGCCCCTACTGAGACACCTCTCTCCCCTGGCACTCCAGCCCCAGGGTGGGGAGGGTACGTGGGGCTGAGGTTCAGGCCAGATTAACTCTTCTGGGGTTCCAGGGTTAGTGGAATTTGTGGAACCCTCTATACTCTGAGGTGGGGCCAAAAATGAAGGATCCAGTGTGCAGGACAGGGCTGCCAGTGCATGGGATAGAGATAGGGGTGCAGAATCTGGGTGGAAAATGGGGTACAGAAGCAAGCTAGGTGTAGGTGTCTGGCTAGGGGGCAGAAGCAGCAGCAGGGTGCTGGTGGGGGTTTGGGCAGGGGGAAGGCTGCTGGTGGGGGTCAGGGCAGGAGCAGGGTGCTGGTGGGGGTTTGGGCAGAAGCAGGATGCTCATGTGGGGCCTGGCCAGGATACTTCTGAGGGTCTAGGCAGCCTGCTGGTGGGGCCTGGCAGGGTGCTTTTGGGGGGTCTGGCCAGGGGGAAGAGGGCAGGGTGCTGTTGGTGGGTCTGGCCAAGGTGCTTGGGGGGCCGGTGCGGGATACTTCTGAGGGTCTAGGCAGCCTGCTGGTGGGGCCTGGCAGGGTGCTTTTGGGGGGTCTGGCCAGGGGGAAGAGGGCAGAGTGCTGTTGGTGGGTCTGGCCAGGGAGTGGGGACGGACAGCTTGGCTGGTACCTGGGGATCCTGCAGCGTGCATTGCTCCTCCCCTCCCCAAAACAGCTGGCGCGGGTGACGGGGTCCTGCGGCTCCCCGCCAGCTCCGACTTTTCAGGAAGCACACGCGTTGTTCCTTCTCTCCCTAAAGCAGCCGGCGCGCTTCCTGAGAATTTGGAGCTGGCGTGCAGCCTCAGGACCCCACCACTGTGCAGGGAGGAAGGCAGGCAGGCAGCACGGAGAAGGAAGTCCTCGGCTGCGCACCAGATCCGACTTCTCAGGAAGCACGCCAGCTGTTTTGGGGAGGGGAGGAACAGCACACGTGCTTGCAGAGACACCGGATCTGGCATGCAGCCAGGGACTCCCTCCCCCACCCCCCTCCAAAAAAAAGCAGGAAGCCATTTTCCGAGGAGGTAGCATCAGAGCGGGCTCCTTTTTGGGAGTGGGGAAGAACGGGGGTGGGGAGGATCCGACTTCTCAGGAAGCACGCCAGCTGTTTTGGGGAGGGGAGGAACAGCACACGTGCTTGCAGAGACACCGGATCTGGCATGCAGCCAGGGACTCCCTCCCCCACCCCCCTCCAAAAAAAAGCAGGAAGCCATTTTCCGAGGAGGTAGCATCAGAGCGGGCTCCTTTTTGGGAGTGGGGAAGAACGGGGGTGGGGAGGCTAGAATACTTCACGATTGACTGGTTGTGCCCCCCAAATCAACCAGTTGATCACAATCGATGGGTTGGTGACCACGGATCTAGAAGGAATGTGAGGTGTGACTCCTGCATCTTAGCTCATGGCTGCTACTCTCCTAATATGGCTGCAGAAAAAAAAGGCCTCAGACCTAATAATATGGCTGCAGAAAAAGGCTTCAAATTTTACACCACATATACGTTGGAAGTGAAACATCCATAAGGGACACATCTCAAAGAACTACAGTTGCTGCAGAGGGTGAGTAACATTTCCTTATCACAAATAATGGCTAACTATAGCCATATTTTAAAAAGACTACCCATTGCACCACATCTATCACGAATCACCTCTCCGCTAACTTTTGTGAAGAGATCTGCTGACAGAGGGAAAATTGTCATGGACAAATATGGGGCTGACACACATTTATGAGATGCGCACACCTGATTTTTACCCCATTATAAGACCCTTCATAGAACACAACATGAACTGTGTAGCTATTACAATAACAGATACAGCAGTACATCATCTCTTCCCGGAGCTTATATACACAGTGAACTCTGCTTTTCATTGAATCCAGGAATGTATTATTTTCCATCGTTTGAACCAGAAGCTGCGTACCCAAGGGAGGAAACAGCACGTTAGATGGGTGCCAAGTTTCTCTTAGCAGAGCAACATCTTCCACACAAGGAGAAATGGCAAGTGTTCCAGCAAACTCTTTCCTGTGCACTTACCTGGTTCACTAACTGCACCTTGAGAAAGCATTATAAGTGACAGCAAGCATTCAGCAAGTGGTCTTCTGTTGCAGAATTCTTAGCTCCTTGTATAAAAAATAAACATTACATGGCAGTTTAAAGCATATATAAACGATTATGTAATTGTTTTATAAATAAATGATGAGTGGGGGGTTAAAAACCTCTCACTGAGGTTTTGATCCAACTCTCATTAATGTCAGTGGGAACTGGGCAATGCCTTGTGTCCTTGGTGTAAAAACTGACGGGCCTGGTCTTTAAGATACAAAAAGGGAAATTAGACTTTGGTGGATTTGTTTTACATAGAAAGGAGATTCCCTCCAATTCAGCTGTTCCAGTTTTGTGTGAAAAGGTGATGTTTTTAATAAACTGAAGGTTATTCTCCTTGAAATTTCCATATGTTTTTCTCAGCAGGCATGTAGTACTGTTAGTTGGTTACATTTACGGTTATTACATTAGAGGAAAGAGGCTGACCTTTCTGTGTCAGCTTTGCACGTGATTTCTTCCGTGAGTATTCTTTTGCTTTGTCTCCATCCTCACTGACCCTTGGAGCCCATAGCTTTCTCAGAGAACTGATCACATAAAACACACTCTCATTTCTCTGAATGGTTAAAAAAAAAAAAAAGCCAAATCAATTTGATCTTAAAATTAGCTGTCGCTTAAAAAATAAATATATTTTATGTTTTTTAAAGACATGCTCAGAGTGCCAGTAACAGCAGCAGAAATCAGTTTATGTAGAAGATGTATTTTTCATAACGTGCAGAGCTCATCTGGGTATGTGTTTGTATACAGGTTTGTAGAGTTTTCTGCCTAAGGCGATTCCAGCTCTCCATTATGCTGCTCTTCATGGCTTGTCCTTGCAATATGTTTGAACATATTTTCAGCTACTACAAGGTCAAACAACTTAGCTGGTAATCCTCTGTTAATAGAATAGCCACTGTTTCCCTCTACCCTGAAATTAGTGCCAGCATGGCAGATTTCAGAGGCATATTGTGAATTATCCCATTGCTAGCAGCATGCAGTAAGAAACAGAAAGCACTCAGATAACACCTGATCTGTCTCCACCCTCATTTTAATTTCTCAGCTTTCTGTTCTTCCAGAAGAGTCACAGAATCATAGATTAGGGTTGTAGGAGACCTCAGGAGGTCATCTGGTCCAACCCCCTGCACAAAAGAGGACCAACCCCAGCGGAACCATAGAATCCTAGAGCTGGAAGGAACTTCGAGAGGTCATTGAGTCCAGTTCCCTGCCCTCATCATCCCAGCCAGGGCTTTGTCGAGCCTGGTCTTAAAAACTTCTGGGGATGGAGATTCCACCCCCTCCCTAGGGAACCCATCCCAGTGCTTCCCTCCCCTCCTAGGGAAATAGGAGGGAGGGGACTCACTGGGATCATCTAATATGGACCTAATATCTAGCATGGACCTCCCGCAGTGGAACTTGAGACCATTGCTTCTTGTCAGACTGCCCCACCCCCACCTCCACTATATGAGAAAACAAGGCTATTGACTGAAGCTCATAGTTCAAGGTCAGATTCTCTAGTCTGACCTGTACGTTGCAGGGCACAGAACCCTGGCCAGCCACTACTGCAATAGACCCATAACCTTTGAGTTACTCAAGTCCTCGAATCATGATTTAATGGCTTCCAAGTTACAGGGAATTCCCTATTTACTCTGACAGTTATATACTTTATTACTTTGAGCATATAAATGGGAATTCAAAACTTCTCTCTATATATTTTGTGCCATTAAGTGTGTTTTATTTTTTTATCGTATTAGAGTGCAAAGACTCTCAATATAAACACCGGTATATTGTGAATTCAGCAGTTTTGATCAGCTGCCCATGTATGTATCAAACTGCTTCAGGTTCACAATGGAAAACACTAATTTGCACACTTTTACTACTTCATTAGCAATAGCCAGAAAGAACTGAGTCTGAAGACAATTATAATCTAAAATGAATGTACTAGTTCAGGTGACAGTAATTTCCCCTACAAATGAAGTATTCAATTTTACTGTAAGTCTTTTCTTGCTCTTTTCCTTTCCCTGCATTATACAGTTCCCTACCTATGTTTATTTTGTGGTGTTGACTCCATCAGTTTCTCCTTCTTTATCCTGCCTACCCCAGTACTCATAGCTAAGGCTTGGAAAATCTAACAAAAACCTAATAACCAGAGAATGACACCTACTAGCCAAAGTGACATACACAAGCTGGGGCTGTTCCCTCTGCTATGTCGGGGCATCAGCCTGCTGTGAAGCTAGCCGCCTCCTTCCCTTCTGGGGCTCCTCTCAGTGTTTTCCTGGGACCCAGCTTGAGAGCTACAGTTTTTACATGGGCCCCTGCAGCGCCTTGTTGGTATCTAAGTACCAATCCCCCCATGTGTTCTGGTGCTAGAAAGGAGAAGGGTCTGTCCATTCATCTGCACCCCAGTTACTCAGCCTAGTATCTCCCCCTTGTCCCAGCCTCCCTAAGTTGGAGGGATACATGAACTTTAGGAAATCTGGAAACCAAGTCCCAATTTGAGGAAAAGGGTAAATTAGAATAGCAGAGTTGAAAAATTAGTTTCAGAAACCAAAGTAAGTGAAGGATTGTGTCTGAAGAAAGACAAGAGTCTTTTGTTGAAACACAGAACAAAACTCATTTGGCAACAGAGAAGCCCTATCCAGGAAGCTCTTCTTTCATGTTGGATGTAAATCTATCAGAAGACAAGGTGGCTCTTCTTGTTCCTCTCACCAACGTAAATTGGTCCAATAAATAATAATGCCTCAGCTCCTTTGGGGGGAGGGTCTCATATTCTTGGGCCAACACTGCTACAATTTCACAGCATAAATCTGTATGGCTAGCATGCTCCATCATCGCAATACAATTCACTTCATTAGTGCACTGAGAAGCCTGCAGTGGTTTTTTAATCCTATATAGAGCATATTGAAAGTGAAAAATGCAAGTCTATGGTGCTCGTTTGGTTATCTACAAAAAAAATAGAGCCTTGACTAAGAATTCCTCTAAGGTTGGGTCCTACTATTTGAACAATGCAAATGCTAGAAGAGGAAACCCAGACAGTACGAACAAAACCTCTTTATACCGGGCGATTGCCCAGAATCTTCAGCACCATAGGTCAGGAAAGCAACTCGTCATACTGTAATTGTCCTCATAGTAATTGTGACGGGATGCGGTCACAGAAGACCCCTTGGGGGCATTTTCCCAGAGTGGCCACTCACCTTCCTGCTCTTTGGGGTTTCTCACTACCCTGTCCGACTGGGCCAGCTCCCTGGTCTCTCCCAGCCAAGGCACAGAGCTGAGATCACTGCTCCCCTGAGGAGCAGTATAGACACTGAAACACCTCACATCTGAGGAAAATGTTGTTTGGGGCTCAGCTTCCTGGGATATACCACTCCTCAAACGGGATCAGAGCCCCACATGGACTATTCAGGTAAGCCCTCTTTAGCAATGGAAGGAGGATGAACACACTGATTGCTCCCCCAGGTAACAATTATTTACACTGGGCTGGAAAGAAAATAAAAGTGATTTTATTAAGTACAAGTAATAGGATTTAAGTGGTTATTAGTGAGAACAGGCGGAGCAAAGTAGATCACAAATTTAAAATAACAGAAAACACTTGGCTAATCCTAACACTAAACCTCAAGACAAATTTATTACAAACTCACCCTAACACTATGGCTAAAATGGCCACCAGAGCTTTCTTGTGCAAGAGAGCGTCCACGCTGCCATGGACGCGCTTGCGCAAAAGCATATGGCAGTGTGGACGTGCTCTTGTGGAAGCCCTTTTGCACAAGAACTCCTGTGCAAACTGGGTCTTGCACAAAAAGCCTGTAGTGTAGATGTAGCCTGAGGGTAATACCCTTGATGGCTTTCATTTCAAACCATGAAGCAGGGGTGAGGAACCTCCAGCCCCTGAGGCCCAGGGTCCACCCAGCATTGGGGAGCACACGCTGGCACTTCAGCCCGTCCTCCTGCCCCAGGGCTGGAGCACACAAAATCTACTAGGCTGTCCCCCCCCCCCCCCCCCCCCCCCCCCCCCGGTGGGGGGGGGTTGGGGGCCATACTGAGGGGTTGGGTTTTGTTTTGTGGCTCACTTATGTCTGGCCCCCAACTGATTTTTCTATGAGTCAGTGGCCCCGACCCGAAAAAGTTCCCCACCCCTGCCATACACCCGCCAAATCCATATATCCAACTTCATACACAAGAATGATCCATAAATATATAATGTATTTTGGTATATACCAAAATAAGCTATACAGCTCCAGCAGATTAAGACTGATTACATGAGGTCGTTTGTCCCAAGAATCTTTGAATTATGCATCTTTGTGTCCATAAGTCCATTTCGTAAAGCATGGGGGGAGGGGCCCTGTCATAGTAATCATAAAATACTAGCAGACTTTCCTAGCATTGCCTGGTCCTTCAGGGCAGGGGGCTGGTGGTGTTGGGGGTGCAGGAGTCCAGGCAGGGCCTGTGT